GTAGTATGCAGAAGAATAGAAGCTATGAAAACTAATTCATCCGCTTCACAAAGAGCTGGAAATGCTGCAGCAAAAGCTATGTGTAATGCCTGCCAGCAATTCACTTAAAAAAGAAATTACAGGGTTTGACAAGCCATAATTATTTTTGCATCTGTGCGGATGTCTCCCATTCCAAAGGGAGGACATATATATACATGTATGTGTGCATGCATCTGTGTCACAGACCTGGGCTTATACAGCAACTTGTCTTTGAGCAAGGTAAAAATACTTCAGTATCATGGATAGTTTTCTTTTAATAGCAGGTATTCTGGCCTGTGATAGTGAATGATACTCCAGCCTTGCATTTTTTTAACTTAAAAAACCTGCTACAGCTTGCCTGCAATATTTTGTAGCATGCTGTGTGTCATGTTGGCTGTCTAGTGGAGAATGACTGTTTTATGCAAGCTACAACTGTTCAGTTGGAAGGATTTCAGGCTTACATAAACACACTGCTAAATTCACATTTTTTCCTCTGATGTAGCCAGCTCAGTCTATTTAATTAATGATCAAACATTCTTCCATTTAATACCACCCCCAATTTTAAAGAAAAAATTAGGAGTAGCAGTCCCGCCAGAAATAGTTATAAATGACTGCAGAGCTCCTAGCTATAGCTCAGGAGTCAAGTAAGATCCTTAGATAATGAAGCCTGTTCCTAGGTAAGCCAAAAGTTCATAAACTTTGTAAATCATATGATGTATTTTGGGTTATCCACCAACGGCTGAATTCTGATTTTACTTGGACATTACTTATATTCTCAGAAAGGAGCCAGTATCTGCACACAAAAAAAAAATCCTGAAAGAGTGAACTAGTTCAAAGAATACAGTGAAAGGCAGAGGAAAGGAATGGTAAACTGCGAGGGAGGGGAGGCTTGAAGAGTACTATATTTAGTCCTGTTGGATAAGGTTATGCCCTCAGTTTTTGCACCCTTGCAATATTAGTGGTCATTAGTGGGATGAGAATGCAAATATTACTTAAAGCAAATGAGCCAGATTGAACACTGTCTCCAAAACTAACATAACAAAACACTGCTGAGAACAACAGCTAGGAACAACTAGGCAGTAGGAAAATGAAAAGATAACTGTATGAAGTGACAGAGTGAAAGAGAAAGAGGATTAAGTCTGACAATTGCCTTAGAATAAGAGAAATGATTGGGCAATGTCTGGCTCTTTGAGCTAGGTAAATATTATCCAGAGAGCAGAAAAGTCAAGGTTCCTAAAGACAGAGGGAAAGGAGATTCTGAAAGCACATTAAACCCTGTCTCCAGGTTAAATTAACTGAAATGCGAATGAAGATGAACTCATGCAGGGTTACGTCATTCTTTTATCAAGTCCTTTGAGAGGTACTACCTGTGGAATGACTGCTTCCCAGCTCTGTCAGACCTGTCAGGTTTTTGTAGCTGGTTCTGTTCTCATGGTACACAGCCAGAAATTGTCTTCCTTGATCTTGGTATTATTTAATTTTAGTGTTAACCTTGTTTTGCTTCACAGGATACAAAGTTTGGCCAGTGGAGTACAGCTGCTTTTCAAAGTTCTGAGGAAGAAATGAAGTTTTTTAGACTGATGGGTGGCTTTAAAAAGGGCTCTGTGGCTATCGGAAATCTCTCAGCCACTACAAACAAACCGAACATGGCTCTGAACAGGGAAGGGGAGGAAAAGTTACAGCAGGCTCTGAAGATGGAATTCGATAAAGCAATGGACTTGAAGCGACACAGAGGAATCGGTCTTGGATTTCAGCCTGCTGCCAACAAAAAAGTATACATAGACAAATATACATCTAGATCTATAAAATTTGAAGGTTAAAACTCTGAAGTAATAAAAGGAATGAAAATTCAACAGGCAAATGTCTTTTCACTTTCACATCTTTTTACTTGAAATAAAATACAAAATGTTTAAGAAGTTTGATTTATGAGGCACTTTTAGTACAAGTTTTCAACTGCATACACCAGATTATGTGGAGCTGGATCCTCACTTTAGCTAAACAGTAAGTTTTTGAAACCATTGCAATGTTTTCTACAGGGCAAGAGACAGCCTCCTTCAAAGACTGAAGATACGTGGGCAATGCCTGCAACAAGTTGAAACTTAGTAAATTTTTGTTTAAATTGCTGATTTCATAAACTTATTTTTAGCTACATCTTAGTGATTCAGAAGGATTTTAGTGTTCTGTAAAATCTTCACATTTTTACACTCAGTGACTGGTACAAAGCGATGGTGGTTTACTTTGAAGAAACACTACTGGTATGCCTACAAATGTGATGAGGGAAGACTTTTAACTCAAAGTTGTTTCTTAAATATTAGCATCTTCATTATAATAATGAATAGCATTGAACATCCTCTATATTTTAACTATGCTCTGGCAGTTGGGATTTTCAAGCAGCAGCTGTTAATCTGTAAATGCAAGTAAACGCCTTCTGGATAGCAGCACCAAATATATGGATCTAGACTTCCTAAATTATAGAAAGCAAGGTAATTTTAATAATGTGCTTATTGGGTTCATCATGCATCAATCAATGAAATTTCTAACCTTTGGATTTTCAGACAACTTGCACTTTCGCTGGCTTTGTAATAAGAGTACAAAATACAAGACTGCATTTGTCTATGTTGTGTTCAGAATTCAAGGGTCCAAAGTAGTCTATCAGTGTCTTGCTTGAAGTTAGAAAAAGTCAGTGAAAACACTGTCATGTATTTTATTACTGGCTGTGATATTTGTTATGGGAGACAGTGTTGTTAAGTTTCACTGTAGCTCTGGTTCTCAAGCAGAACAAGGTGACCATCTCTTATGTCCATGCCTGCTGTAGTGTAATAGTGGCTGACTTGCAGAGGAGCACCAGCCCCCCAGAATTAGGTTACTATTTCTACCTAGCCAGCTCATTGTTTTTCTGCCGAATTACCTATCCTTTCTGATAAGATCATGCCAACTGAACTACTAAATTTCTTGCTCTTTTAAGGCAACCTCATTTTCCACAATAGTCTTTTCCAGTGGACCGCTCCACCTGAAAGCAGCTGCGTCCAGCAGAAAATACACTTAAGAGCAGTTGATTCCAATGCATTTTGGGCAACTCCTGAGGTGAAGTGAAAATTATGCAGAGGCTCCAGCTTAAGGGGTTGCCATGAATCCATTCCCATACCTGGGAAGAGGGAGATGCTGAACCACTTCCTGCAGGGTCTGAACTTGTCTTTGAGGAAACCGTCTCCTTTAAAGTGTCATTTAAAATCACCAGTACCACAGGGTGAGTCTGTTTTGCACCAGTGCTCTCAAAGCTCAGTGACTGGCTTGAGCCAGCCCTTCTAGGCTTCAGCTGTTGCTTTACTTAAATTCAGGTCGTGGAGGTTCTATTTTCTGATCTAAGACAAATGCTGAATTCAGGCCCTCAGCTACTTGCCTGGCAAAAAAATGAGTTAAAATAAAGGAACAGGTAGGAAAATGTCAACTAGTGACTTCATTTAGGAGGAGAGGGACAGCATGTACAGCTTTCTTCTGCCGGTCTTGGGTAGTGACTGGTCTTGCACTGTCACTGACGAAGATGCTGAAGGTGATATTAGTCTTAGCCTCTTTTCCCATCTAGAACTGCATAATGTATACCAGTGTGTTGCTCGACTATAGCTTTGTGGATGGCCTGGCACCTTGCTCTTGATAATACTGTGCACATGAAAATGTCGTAGTTTGAAAAACAAGACACATCATACCTGGGGGAAAAACTGTCAGCTTTTTTCAAGCAGTCAAACTTGGTCTGGCCTGTATATTTGCTATATACAAAAGAAAGAGGAGGTCTATAATAAGTAGAGTGCTTCAACTAAAAATAATTTTGCTCTAACATGGAAGTAAGCCAAAAGCAGTTTATTAGAGTGGCTGCGTTAGCTTTCAAGCTAGATGTTTAGAGTTTGCTCCTGATAACTAACCAGAGCTTTCTGCCTGTTGTTGAGCTATTTTTGCACTAATAAAAACAGTAGTAAAACATTTGAAAGCATTTCTCATGGCGGTCTTGCATCAATGTAGAAACCAAAGTTACACTGTGCTCAAAACGCAAAAATTGGTGCCTATATGGGGAAGAGGAACAGTTGGGACAGTTGTAAGCCTGCCGTAAGAGCTTCCATTTTACAGAATCTGGAACAACACACTGGGTTTGGGTTTAGAGCAGTACATTCGCCCCCAGAGGGCAACTTCTGCCATATCACAGCTGCTTAGTGTGACCCGCTTGGCAGTTTAGAGAGCTCAGAGTTTAATCCCACTTACCCAGTTCGTAGTTTATGTTTCCAAGCCCAAAAGTAAGAATCATCTACGTGCTGTTGAGAGTTGTTTTGTGCAGCTGCAACAAGAAGGAAAGCTAAATTAAAGTGGGACATAACATATGCAGTACTATTATTTCATTATCTATGTGCACTTTATACAGAATTATTTAAGGAAAGTCAATATAATTAAAATAGCTATGTAACTAAGGGTTGGAAAGGTTCTGTATCAAGTTGGTACCACTTCATAATTGTCTTGTACTCCTGCAATTTTACTCAGCTTACATATGTAGTCTGTACCAGGACCAAAGGGTCCTAGTTCAGTTCTTTACAACCTTAACACAAAATACGTATTTTAGATGTACCCTGCTTCAATAACCACTGAGGAGATGAAAAACATGCAACACGAGTGGTTTAATAATTTGGGTGGTATTTATTATCAGCTTGCTAATTCCTTAAATATATGGTTCTAGCAAAACTGATTACTTGTTTAGCCTTAACAAAATAAAACTTCTGTGCAAAAATATATCTTAATATCCATATAAGGATTTAGCTCATTAAAATACTTACCACTAAGCAAAAGCAGCAATAGATGCAAGATCTCAACATGGTTCCTTACCATGGGACAGAAGTGGTGAGAGTGAAATTTATGTAATAGCAATACATGTAATTAAATTCCACAAGGGTAAGGTGATAAATTTGTATATGCAAAGAAACTCCCCCAGAACAAACAGATGAACTGCAAATTGTTTTATTCAGTGATACAGTGTACTTTGTGAATATAGAATACTTTGCATACATATCCATTTTCCTTTGCAGACAGCACTTAAAAGATTCCTTCCATTTTACAAAACACCACTGAACTAAAATGAAAGCATAAACATGTCTGTGAAAATGTATTGTACAAATTAGAACAGTAACACCTCGGCCATTTTTCTCTTTTACTGGAACTGACCAAACAAATGTTGGCAGTACCCCAAAGCAGAAAGATGACTTAGTAGGATTATTATATTGAAATGCTGCTTTCTACACAGGAGAAACTATTCTGCAAGTGGGATGAAGTTTGGAGGCTGTGAATTGATCCCTGGAGGTTATCTTCTTCCTTTGTTGCTAAAATGACAACAGATTAGATTTCAAAAGGCTTTTGCAGCCATAGAGCTTCAAAATACCCTTTAGTGAATCTAAACCAGCATTTAAAATAAGAATATAGTGGTAAAACTGGAAACAGAAATTCAGGTTAAATTATTGCACTCAGAACAGTTTTACCTGTGTCCAGGTAAATCTGTCACATTAAGTAAAATAAAAATACACTGAACTCCTCCAGTCAAAATCTACATCAGTGATTTTTGGCCTCGGCTACATGCTCTCTGGTACAGAAGACTCCTTGGAAAAGAGGCATTCATCAGGTCCTAGACTGCAGAGGAAGCCGAAGGGCCAAGTCTGTGAAGTGACTCATTTCAGGTTGTTTGCTTCGCCTCTTGATGTATTCTAGCGTTTTCACCTGGGTATGAAAAGAAAGATATTTTGAGATTTTTAGTGTCTTTGTCTTTTCTCATTTCATAGGCCATCATTTAATCTATGTGAAGGTGTTTTAATAGACACTCTCATGATTTTCCCTAAATTTCACTGGCTACACAAGCACTTGCATTTCTTACTCCAGAGCTCGTTATCATGCATATCTTTCTTGAAGGCTCTAGAATGCCCACTTTCCAAGCTTACACCATGCGGTTCCTCCACTAAATAAAAATGCTGTATTTCTCCTTAAAGATAGTTTTCTGTACTGAAAAAAAGTTATAGCACCCAACATTTCCAGGTTCCTTAATGTGTGAAATACATTTAAAAGTGCTAGAAAAATACAGACCACTTGAAATAAGAGAAGCTGCTTATTCATTAAGAAGCATTTAAAAAATAAGAGTGGGGGTTTTTTAAGCTCATTTAATTTTTTTTTTTTTTAAGAGAGCAACTGGTAAAGAGATTAGGTTTATTTAGATCAAGAAAATGTTACTTTTTCCCAAATGAGGAGTTGAAAAAGCTCTTAAGAACTAAAATTTCTCTGCATTATCTGTTTTCCTTACCATAGTCTTGGTGTCAGCAAAGCCATGTTTCTGAGCAAGATTCCAGAGATTGACTGAAAGCTGATTTAGTTTGTTGTTTCGTAGATCCCCATGAGCTAGAATAGTGTTAAAGAAATAGAGTGCCAACTGGCTCTGTCGCTTTAGGGTCTATAATGAAAAACAAAAAATTCCTGTATTACCATATAGTCATCCCAAAATATCCAGCATAACCTCGCCGGGTTCTCTGAACTCTCAGAAGTGTAAGGGGCAGATACTTGTTCTGTAATACACACAGCAATAATTACAGACACAAGAATACGGGCATAGTTTCCATGTTCCATTCAAAATGCAACAAGTATTGATAGTCATGGATCAACCTAAGTTGCTGTAAATAAAATAATTACACAAGACTCCTACATCTCATACCACTTTGGCACAGCGCAGTATGTAGCTCTGACATTTTTAACTCAAGACTCGCTACAATTGCATAGAAATCACCCTCCCACCAACCAACCTTGCACTTAACATCACCATGGCTATATATTTTTTAGAGAGACCACTATCATAAATCTAGATTAATGCAATTTCAGGCTTTTTCCAGCAGTCTATTCTATTTTTATTTATTTGAACAAAGATGTTTTTTCCCTGCTATTCTTTCACTGAAACTTTGGTGATACCAACATATTTGCACCATATTTGCAGCTAAAATTGCTGAGGAGGGACCTTGAGGAGGACCCCTGCTTCATGGTAATCTACCATGGAGGAGCATCATGCCCTTCAGCCTCTATGGAGGAGTTCTGGGGCACAGACAATCCTGCACTAAGGTTACAGGGTGCTACCACCCTGATTTGGGGTGAGTGGAAAACAGAATTAATTAAAATGCTATTGCAGATTCTGCCTATTCCTACAGAATAAGTTTTAAAAGGCTAAAAGGATGAATTATTATTGGATGCATCTGAGATGCAGTATTTGTTTATACTGCTTTGCTGCAGCTGTCCTTTGTTTTTTGCTCAAGAAAGACCATTGATAAAATCATAGCTCCATCTTACACAGAAACCACAGCAGCAGAATAGTAAAAACTGTCAGCTGAGCACCTCGATTAATGAACTTAATACTTCACTTTAGCCCTCTCAGTTCAATACATGTTAGGGTAGCTAATATACAGCCTTCAGATACGAAGTTACAGGAAGAACGAGGCAGAGATTGGGGTAAGAGGAGTGCAGTGATCTCTGTGACTTGTGTGCTCCTGACATGATACCAATGCAGCCATGCAGCCTCTCCCCTTTCCCTAAGGGACTGAAAGTAAATTAATTTCCCTTCTCACTGCCAGCAGAAGAGAGGTCAGATGCTATTAATCAAAGAAATGGCACACACTAAGCTATCAGTCCTCCAGATAAATATGGAAAAGGAGAAAGCCATGCCATTAAAGAATTGGCTAACTAGAAAAGAGGACACTGCATGCCCCAAACTAGAAGCATCAGACTGCTACTGTATGTTGTGACCCACACAGTAGATTTGTACATGCAGAACAAATCTGACACATCAGAAACCATGCGCACACACGCGTGCATATGCAATGCCCAGAGCTGCTCAAGGCCCCAGGAGAAGTTCCCTAAGCATTAAATTAATTACATGAAACTACCAAGAAAACAGCTCTTCCTGTAACAGTTATCCATGTTAGCAATTTCCATCCCAATAGCTCCAAAACCTGTTTATAGGCTAAAACTACAACCATCATTTGGGTGCATTGAACTGTACTCCCTACCAGATAGAGAAATACAATTGATCAGTCTAGTCCAGTAGTATTAACACAAAGCAGAAATACAACTCAAAAAGACCAGAAAAGGGAAAGTAGTTATGCTTAAATGCTTAAATATTACTGTAGTATTTCTCTTGTAGGACTAACATCCTTCACAGAAAAACAGACATAGTGTACAGCCAGCTAGACCATGTTTTGCCACATTATTCACAAGGCATCCTGCCACATCACCATGTATCCTGGATTAACAAAATAACCTATATTACCTATAATTTTTTTTCCCGTTGACCATCTAATGCCTGTGTGTATTCTGCTGAATACAAACTTCAAAGAGGTTCCTGGGAATTGCTGAGAGGTTTCCTCACAAGAAGTGGGACAGTTAAATTATTGGGCAGAATGCAAAAGCAGCAGTACTCCAGTCTGAATACCAACTAGCGAGGTTTTCCAGGCAGTATCAATGCAAATACAAAATCCATTCTTTAAAATAAGGATGACATTTTGACTAATTTGAAATATATGTACTTCAAAAAGGATCATACTTCAAAAAGGCTCTAGAAACACATTAAAAAGCTAGAAGAATGAGATGAGCACTAACTCTGATTATATTGGGATAGGTATAACAGACAGGATTTTGGTATCTAGTCATCAGTTACACAATGCAAAGTGGAGAGAGAGGCAGGCTCAGGTGTGCAGTAAATCCCACCACATCTGAAAACAAACAAGAGTCAGGCAAGCCTTCACATGATGATGCACAGGAATGTTTCTGTAACATGGCACTGACCTCCAACCCGAGGGAGACATCTATGCCAGCATGCTGCCAAGCCTGCTGACATTACTGAGACTGAATTGTGGGTAGAACTCCAACTCACAGGATGTATTCACAGGCAGCAAGGAGAAAGCAACAGCTCAGCTATTTGGCAACCACATACATCATGGGACTAGCAATTCCCACACCAAAAAGAATTGCCAGCCTTCCAAGCAGTGCATTTTCCATGATCTTGGAATAATGCTGATGACAATGAAACAAACTACATCATCCCAGAATGTGACCCCCTTGTGTCCTAGCCCCTCCACCAAAGTGTAGAGCAATGTCCAAATTTCATATAGCATAACAAAAAAATAGGATCTTTCATATAATGGACCATGTAACTTTGTATTTCACAAAATTCTGGCTAGCAATTAAAATATTCATTCCTGTCTTTCAGTGACTTTTGCCAGACATCTATGTCATAAGGATACCTTGAGCCTTCTGTTAGAAAAGCATTTGTGTATTTAGATACATTGCTCCTCTGAAGGTGAGTCTAGCCTGCTGCTGTTCCCGTGTACAGCTTTAAAATAACTGGCTCTGATACTTGTTAACAGTCTATCTGTGGCAGCACAGAGCTCAGCATGGGCTGTAAGGCTCCTCCAAGGTACTACATATATCAGTCTAGGCCGAGTCTCCATGCTGATATAGCATCTGTTTGCTAGTATTACCTGAACTATCTAGGCTGAAATTAATTCCAGCACTACTGTAATGCTACTGGTTACATCCTTGTGATCCAAATCTAGATACTGCTAAAGAAAGCCATGACAGGCAGCCTTGCCTTTCCTTGAAAGCTCTCACGTGAAGCCCTCTGGGAACCTTTTAACATCTGTTAGTTCACTGGAAAAGATTACAAGCTGCATGGGACCGACCAGGTTCTCAACTCTCTCATTACACAACTGTCCTTACACGGGATAAATGAAGCACCTAGCACCAATGACAGCTAATACGAGTTCATTTATAATAAAAGGAAATAATAATTTGAGAAAACACCAAGAACCAAGCTGCAGCTGGGAGCTCATATACCACACAAGAGGACGCATATGCCCTATTTCACCACTCCTCTAGCACACTGAGATGATCAGAAGAGAAAGTGCTTTCTTTTGGATACAACCCTTGAAAGAGCAGTCCAGAAACTCCCTCTAGAGTACTCAGAGTCTCAGTGACAGCTTCTGCTGGCTCAGGGTGCAGTAACACACCTCTTAGTTACGGCAGGCTGAAACATTTTACTCCTAGCTCTATACTGGCACCACGGTAGGTTCATCTCTATTTCAGAGTCCTTAATCTATTGTTAAAGCTTTCAATATTCATAGTGCTGCTCACATCAGTTTGATTTCCCTCTAAAATTAATCCAACAAAGGTGTGCTCCGTGTGGAACTTGCGGTTCATGGAGAATCAGACTATACTTTCCAAAGCCATACTCGGTAATCCTGCTGTAGGCCATTAGCAGAATCCTAATATATTTGTTTTGGTTTATACCATTTACCAAGTAACTTACAAACATGCAGAAACAATGTTCCCAATCAAACTATTTCTAGTCTTTGAACTCCACCAGCATGCCAGAGACAACAGTGTAATAAAAGGATTAATCTGGGAGTTAGGACTCTCCAACTCTGAGACAAAGAAGTGGAGTTGATATGCACTCACCAGCCACAGTTCCTCATTGCAATGCACCCATCCTCTTGCTGGGTCATCAGCAGGCAAGCTGCAAGCATGCCAAAACAGGTACCTCCACCACCTGCAATGTCTTCTGGAAAATGCAGCAGGTAAATTCCCTTGCCTCCCTCCTCCCAAAGAGGAATTAAATGTTTAACCACCTTTAGAAAATCTTGGCCAATGACACAAAATCCTTCAGGATGAGCAACCTCTTCTCAATTTAAAACACACCCACACACACACAGAGAACTATGTCCAACTCTGCTTGTAGTTTAGTATTCAAACACATGTGAAATCAACTGAAGTTTTTATAAGTTTATATAAAATTAAAAGTCAGTTGTGGTGAAAGGAGAAGCCTCAAGAGCATACCCAGGAATTGCTTTCTACAGCTCCATTTTTGATACTTACTATAAAAAGTCCAGTATGTATCATATGGCACACAGGAAGACTGCCATCCTAACATGGCACTGCCGGGGACACAACAACATGCTCTTAATGTTTTGGATCAACAGTGGTGTTTGAACAAAACATACTCCGTCTGGACATCTATCACTGAGTAGCAAGAGGCAAGGTATTTACATTTCTAAGAAACCTAGTGCGTAAGATTAGTTTTCCACCCACACAAAGGCAGAGAGGATTCACTGATACATGGCTCTCATGATCAGCAACCACTTCAACTTTACAGAACGGTCCAGAACTGAAAATTTCCATTCAAACACTGTAACATAAATGAAGTATTCTCTAATATCGCGAAAAGACCATGCTGTGTTAACATAAGATGCATTGTTCTCTTCCAAATTGCCATCTTGGTGAAAGCATTTTATTGTGAGAAAAAAATATTTTCCTTTATAGCTTTTAAAGCAAATGAACCAATAAAACCCCAGTATCACCAGAGGCTTGTTCATTTAAATGAGCAGCCAAGCAGATGAATAATAAAAGGTCACCAACACTGAAGCAATACAAATACCACAGTGATTTTATGATCGGTTCTACATTAGCACAAATGGAGGTCTCTGACAATATTCTCATCACCCCTTTCCTCAGCAACAACAGCTTCCTCAAAAAAACATTCATTCTTACAAAACAATTTTTATCTAAATTCCTCAAGGACTTTTACTCAACGAAGCAAAATAAGTGCTCCCCCCCTTTGTAAATAAGGATGGACAGAGGAGTAAATCCAAGGCTGCAGAGGCAAAGGCAGGGCAAGGAACTATATCCATGCTGCTGTGCTGGTTTTAGCTGGGATAGAGTTAATTTTCTTCAGAGTAGCTGGTATGGGGCTATGTTTTAGATTTATGCTGGAAACAGTGTTGATAACACAGGGATGTTTTTGTTGTTGCTGAGCAGTGCTGACACAGAGTCAAGGCCTTTTCTCCCTCTCACCCCACCCCACCAGCGAGTGCTGGGGGTGCACAAGCAGTTGGGAGGGGACACAGCCAGGACAGCTGACCCCAACTGACCAAAGGGATATTCCACACCATATGGCGTCATGCTCAGCATATAAAGCTGGGGGAAGAAGAAGGAAGGGGGGACGTTCGGAGTGATGGCGTTTGTCTTCCCAAGTCACCGTTATGCGTGATGGAGCCCTGCTTTCCTGGAGATGGCTGAGCACCTGCCTGCCCATGGGAAGCAGTCCTAGTCCTTGACTAGTGCAAGCACTACTTAGCAACAACTAAAACATCGGTGTGTTATCAACATTATTCTCATCCTAAATCCAAAACACAGCACTGTACCAGCTACTAGGAAGAAGAATTAATTCTATCCCAGCCGATACCAGGACAGAATGAATTCCTTGTTTTGCTTTGCTTGCACGCGCGGCTTTTGCTTTACTTATTAAACTGTCTTTATCTCAACCCACGAGTTTTCTCACTTTTACCCTTCCAATTCTCTCCCCCATCCCACCAGGAGGGGAGTGAGCGAGTGGCTGGGTGGTGCTTAATTGCAGGCTGGGGTTAAACCATGACAGCTGCTTAGCTTTAAATCCAGTTTTCTATGCAACAACTGCTTCAGTGAAATAACACAGGATCTCATTACTCAAAGTATTAAGCTTGAAAGCAGAGAAAAAAAAAAAAAAAAGCCTTTCAGAAACCACAGATTTCAAGGACTACAAACATTCCTACCCACATACTCCATATAGGAGTCACACGCAAAAAATCCTCAATATACAACCCACGGTCCTGAAAACTCTGTTAAAAATCTCCTTCCAATACCCGCTTGGACATTCTTAGCTGTGCAAGAATGGTTGTTTTCTGCTATTGTTCTGAAAAAGAACTGCTATTCACCGTGCTGATGTGTACAATGATGTAGAGGCATTTGAGCAAAGGATTTATTCATCTTATATCTCTACAATTGCTCAAAGAAGGATAAACAGGATAGCAAAAGGAGAGAAAAGGCTAAACTTAGCATAGTGTCCTCCAAATATGTATCACTTAACACATTCTGTATTGGCAAACACTACAGGCTACTGTGCAAACAGGCTATCTAAAAAATTCCATCAAATTAATCATCCCCTGCCTTCCCATTTCAGTCTACAAGCCACAAGATTTCTATCATTATGCAGCAGTTTAGTAAGCGGTGATTAGGATGTTGTGGAGGGGTTCAATCTCAGAAACAGGTACATTAGCAGAACAGTAAGTTCTCATTATTTCAGTAATACTGAAAACATTAGTCACCTGCCTTTCATATACAATCCATTAAGCTGTATTTGATCTCTCAGAGCCTCTGAACTCCAATAAGCTGCCTAGAGTTTTCTTTATTTTATATTGAACAAATACAACCCTGTACTAAAAACAAGGTAAAGCCAAAAGACCTTTTCCCTCCCTCTGCACCTCTCTCCTGACTTCATCCTAGCATCTGGGATGCAAAACTTTTACAAAGTAAAGGTGGTTTCCACTGTATTTTACCCAGTAACAGACTAACTGTGAATTTTCACTTGGCCCATTACAGAATTGGACATTTCAGGCTACTGTTAACTTCGCTGGCAAGAAAATACAGTTTATTTACAGAGAGAGAAAGGTGACAGCCAGGAGGAAACAACAGGAAGGACGGACATGGAGCAGATTTTAGGCGTAACTATACTGCAATCAAAGGAGTGACTGTGGCACTGTCTCCAATTCTCTAGGTTAGGCCAATAATTGCAATACCAGCATCATGGAGCTCATTATAGGCAGAAAGACTCTCATAAGAAAAAAAAAATTGTCCCACACTGGGCATCATATTTCCATAACCAAACTACACCAGGACTCAAGCCGGTTAATTTAAAGCTAACTCTAACCTCACTATGCTGTTCTGCAATCATCATTCTGTACTGCAGCAGAATCACATCCTTTGGTGCACTGCCACAGTCGATACCACAGAGTATACCAGAGCAGCTTTTACTGCGTGTTGGTTCTAGCAGACTATCCATGTACAGCATACAGTTAAGCAGGTAACTTTAGCCTGCATCTTAAAAATGTATTATAATTTTTACATGATCTCTTTCACATCATTAGGTCTTTCCACCACAAGCGTGCCTACGTGATTGACTCACTTTTTAAACAAGTAAAATTACCTAATTTCCTCTCATTGTAAGGTTCCTGGAGCTTTCCAAAAGACCAATGCCTGGTCAAGAAGGTGGTCCGTTTATTCAACTCCAAAGCAATTTTGGTTTTGTATTGATTCAAGCTGAGTAAGAACATACCTCCTCTTTTCCAAGGGTTTTCAGATGATCCAGGATCTGTGCTATCACTGTTTCACAGAGTTTATTAATTTCAGCCAGGAACTTGGAGTCTCCACCGTACAGGGTATCATTGGAATCAACTGCAGAGATGAATTCAAGCTTAGGTCTGGCTAAAGAGTTATGCATTTGTTTGCTACTGAAAACACCATCTATTTATAGAAGACCAGGTTTGGAAGTTATAAAATGACCCTCCTCCATGAAAAACAAACAGAACAATCTTGTTTAAGTGCCTACCACTTGGTTGGCTACTATGTCCTCTTGATTTTAGGAACAAAACATTGAAAAGAATCTTCTAGCTTAAAGCCAGTCCTGTATTCCTGGATGCAGCCAGTTCAAAAATAACTGCTAGACTTAAATGCAAAGCAACATATAGTGTCAATTTTCACTTATTCCACAGAGACAGACTCCCCGCTCCCATCAGTTTAGAAGAGTATGGCCGTCGTCTTCAATGGCAGCAGGACTGGGCCAAACAGTTTATGTTTTACATAGTGAAAACAACAAGATTTTCAAAGGAAACTGCATTTTAATTTTTTTTTCCTAAAATAAAACCTTGATTACATCAAAGTCACAGAGAGAAATTCAGAAAGTGTATTTTCAATTTGAAAGCCCTTGAAGGATTTTGTGGAGGGAGAACTCTTGAAGGTTTTAGAGCTTATATAATTGTGATTTTAAACACGTGTTTTGGCCTCGTTTATTTATAATGTTTTACTAAGAAGTAAGCTACAAGAAATTTGTAAGTTTAAGTGTATTCTGGGTAAATCAGAGAGCACATAAGATAAATGGTGATCCCCTGTTCCCGAGTAAACTTCATTTTAAGAAGCTAAGGTACATGGTTCACCTAGAAAAAAAACTTCACCCAACTACAGGGGAAAAAATTACTAATTTATATTTCCATGCTTCTCTCCATTGAAGTCTAATTCATTTAAATTTCTCATCTTGGGATTATGCAGTTATTTTGGTTGTATAAAAAATGGAATGAAAGAAAAAGCAGCTATACCATATTTCCTTACAGAATTGGAACAGCAGATTTGCTATAGAGTAGTTGTTCAACTGACAACTATTTTATGTGCTGCTAACTGCAAGAGATATTCTTGTCATGGTTGGTAACTCTGACAGACTATTCACCAGAAGAACTGCAGAATATGTTCCAGCCTGCCTCTTCGTGAAAGCCCTGTGCAACTAAGAGAAAAAGCCAAACTAGCTTGGCCCCTCAGACTAATTAATCTTACCAGCATGCTTTAAAAGATTCGACTAATAGTCTACCTTAATTTAGTAACCTCTCTATGATCAGAAGGCAAACACTCAAATTTTAGAGCAATCAAAATGCTACTACAGAAAGACTACAGCCATTTTATAAAATGCAAAATCTTTAGAATTTTTTTTCTAGCTATTCTGAAGATTTTTGTAAGTTACCACCACAATTTCCAAAACTGAAAGCCTGCCTTCAAAGCAGCAAATACATCATTTAAATAATGAAGACTAGGCATTACATTCTGAAAACTGGAGTTGTTAATAAATGTGAATGAAACACCAATGATAAGTACAAATCAAGCTGATACTTTAGACTAAAAGAAAACCCTCCATATGTATAAAGTTCTGATATTTACTTGAAAGGTTCACAGTTCTAAGTATTTGCATCAACACCACCAGGAACAAACTAAGTAAACCACTCTGCACAGATTCTCTTTAAAGAACAGACTGTACATCTGTTTGGCAGCCACCTCCTGCAATTATTTTGTTACAATACCTGGACCTGCATAGGAAAAGAATCCGTTCTGTAAGATTGACTACCATTAATCTTCATTAACTAGGTATGGTGATAACACAATACTACAAATTGCATAGTGGAATGCAAGGATCCAGAGCCACCCTTACGTATTACCTTTATCTACATGGTAGATATATGCTTCTTGAGTCATTGCAGACAGCAGATGCAAAACATTAGTATAAATCCTGACTTTGTCATCGCTGTTATCCTCCCAAGTATAATCCTGGATCACATTTAGTAATCCTCGCACAAGGAACAACACTCCTTGTTCTGGATGGTCCTACAGAGAAGAAAAGAAATAAGTCAAAACCAACTACACAACAACCCCAAAACAAAAATGGGATTATTTGCGGTCATTCAGGGGTTTAGAGTCACAATACTAGCCCTATAAAAGCAAAAACTACAATATAATTAAAGCTGACAACTACTTTTCTGAAGTGTGCTTCCTGCAAATCCTTTTAAAAATGTGTTCCAGTTTCCTTCTAAAATGTCCATTTGACCCGTAATCATGAACTTGATCTAGGCAGCCTTCACAGACAAACTTTGAAATGCTTTGTTCTCTAGTCACGGGGGTGGGTAGTACAAAATTAATTGTCAGCTTCTTAACAGCTAAGCCTCTAAAATTAAACAACTGGGTAGGATTTTTTTTATTAAAATAATGTCAGTAAGCTATAGAAACAAGTATATTACTCATATAATTATGAGATTCAGAAGAACACCTACACTGGGAAGTCAAAGTTACAGACAATCAACAATCTTTTAATATGAAAGGAATATAATTATAAAGACATCTCCTTTACATAATCTATGAGTTTTTGCAAGCAGTTTTAATACTGCACCTAGCCTATTTCAAGCTGGCAGTTGGTGCAATGATATCAACATACGTAGGACAAACCACAGTCCACTGGGGACATTTCCTTCTGATCATGTATCCTGTAAAGTAAATAGGAGAAAAAACTATGGAAGCTAATTTCTGAATCCTGGTTACTTCATTGCAAGTTCTTCTCCATTACTGAATCTGAGAGGTTGGATCTCCCTCCTTCAATCATCTGTTAATGATCTGAGTCATTTCTCTGAGGAGCATCCAGTTCTGACATAAGTCTTCCTTCAAAGCCTTACTTCTGCAGGCAGTGGACAGCAAAAACATGTCACAGTGGCAACTACCCTTTCCCTTCTAACAACACAGCACCTCCACATTGCTGAATATGCATGGCTTGGGAGACCCCTTCCATTGGAAAAAGGAGAATACACTGCTCTGTTTATGAACATTTGGACAGCACTATACTGTGTGCTGCTTCACCAAATGTAGTCAAAGAAAAAAGGAAGGAGGAAACCATAAGGAATATTTCAGTGAGGAGGAACAATCTACTTTCTCCAAGAATAAGTGAATAAACCTCAAAAGCTTTCTTTTTTTTTTTTTAAAAAACATGCCATGATACTAAGCCAACCCTTGCTGGGGAAGAAGAATCTTCTCAGAGAGGGCCAGAGGTATTAACAGAGGGAGGTAAAAATCTTCAAGCATTAGATTTCCACTGCAGTGAAATCTTGTGAGTATCTGTCTGTCTGTCTTCTCTAAGGTCAATAAAATACTTCAGTTATGTAAGTTTTATCTCAGGTCTTCCAGATTAGTTTACAATTTTTCCTCATCTTTTAGCTATAGCTGAATATATAGGAAGGAAGATTACATATATATATATCTATTTAAACTTGGCAATTGGTTAAAAATTTGAGGGGTATAGAACGATAGTATTTTGTGAAATATTCATCAGAAGAGGAAGGTTATGCCAAAACACATCTTCTAATTATTGTTTTCACTCAAAAGATTAGGCAACCTATAACAAAGAAACTAACTGAAACTAACGGAAACTAGAGCTCTGTATTTTTCCTCTCCTTAGGTATTAGGTTTTATGAGTGCTCAGCTAAAATACCACTTTTCTGCAAGGATCTATTAAAACAGTAAATGATGTTTACACAGTTAAATGGTGGCAAGATTTCACTCTATCCCAAATCCAGTTAAGTACAAGGTGCTACTGAGAGAGGCAACACTGCACCTCAACCTCTGAACAATTGTTCTACCTCCCCATTTTGCACTGGGGTGAGTGATTTTGCAGCCAATGAGCAAATCAGTTCAGCTTGCTCATGGAAGACTAACCACTGCATCTCCCACTCCCAAAAGTCCAGTCTACTCTAAATTTTTGAACAGGAAAGTCAAAATAGTCTACGAGCCTATGTGCTATTCATACACACACAACTTACCGGAACAACTAATAACGTGGAAAAAAAATTACAAAGGAATTCCAGGAGGAAGGCATCAGAAGGTCGCATCTTTCCATCTACACTGATCATTTTTGGCACTTCAGGAACAAGGCTCACTGCAGCTTTGAAAAAAGCGTCAGCTACAAAATAAAAATATAGTTGCTGTATTATCACTCCAACTGCAATGGCAGTCATGCCTGTGATCCAATGATTGCTTTGAGTTTGTTTCAAACAGACTACAGAAAATGAATGTATGCTTAACTGCAAAGAAACTCAAGACTCAGCAGTCAAAATCTGTGGTAATTCAAGTGATGCTGTTTTTTCAAAAGAAGTTCCCACATCACTCGAGACTTCTGAAATTATAATTCTCCTTTGCTTAACAAAAGGACACCACTGTTTCAAATATATTGCATATATAATAATTAGCACACAATTCAAAATTGACTTATCTAAAGAAATGCTTATGCCAGGAGAATGGGGAATCCAAAGGGGGGAAAAAGTGTATTAGATCATGCTAAGTTGTTCACAAATTCATTCACAAAAGCCTGTTAAAGTTATACGGAAGTATGGACAACTTCATTTCTCTAAGTGTTTACAGTCATTAAAAGTAAAGTACTAACATAGTACCAGAACCTGAGGTATTGCTGGTTACCTAGATAAAATTATTCTCTCCAAGAATCATAATACAGGAATTACAGAAACCATCCACCATTACAGCCTCAGCAAAATAGCTATTAAAAGAGTTATGAAAAACCTCTATTATGTCTCTAATCCTACAAAAGAAAAAAACCACTAGAACATCTAGTCATCAGTTTATTAAGTTAATAATCACAAATTAAAAACAATATTTCCCCTCTTACCCTAGAAGACCTCCTATATATGCTAAGAGTTCACAAAAAAATTTCTGATAGTAACATTCTTTTGCACTTTCCTGGCTACATTTCAAAATATCCAAGTATCCAAATCCCATTCAAGTTGTTTAGCCATATACTTCAAAGCATCCTTCAGAATTAATGCTGTATCTTTATTTTACAGGAACAGAGACTGAGGCCATGAAATCAAATTTTAGCAAAGAGAAAAAGAGAATTCTTGGTGAAAGCCAAGAGGTGTTACATGGCTGGGATGGAGATACTACTGACAGGCATGCATGTGCATTTCCCGGAGTGCAGCTTGCTCTGGAAAAATTCATTTGAGCACATGAGACTCCAAGCAAATTTGCTAAATATAGTAACAAACTGATATCTAGTTTAAGCTTATGAGGAATACCAGGGAAACATGTGCTTTGGAAAATCTGTAATTCCTCTGACTCTTATTTCTTTTCAGCACGAGTGCTCAAGCCCTTCTGAACTTTTCAGTGGTTAGAACCTTTTATTCTGCACATTTTGAGGTGAAAGAAATTTTTTTTATTTATTTCAAACAACATATAAGCTTACACAGCCAACCCAAAGGAAGGTAAGTAATCTCTGAGCTTGGAGAGGAAGGAAAGCAGCAGCAAATGTTCATTCTAGCACAAGTAAATGAATCGCTGTCACTGCCACAGTTGTCTCAGCAGAAAAAAAAAAAAGTGCATGCCCCACATCACCATATAATCAAAACATGTGACCGGACAAATGAAAAAACGTGTCTCAGAAAATAGTCTGCATACCAAAGTACCCATGTCTGTGTAGAGAACACTCCTGCCTTCTGAAGTTATTTCATAACGGGACAGGAACGATCATCCGTGCAGCAATCAGTCTCCGCAATGAAAGAGAAAAGCTGCAAAGTACCTCACCTTAATTTACTGCCTGCTCTCCCAGAAATCACAGTCCTAGACATTCTCCTCTTAACTTTTGCCTTAGCACAAAACCAAAACCTCTTATCTTCACTATGAATAACTGCAATTTGATTTGATTTACTCTTCTTGACCTCCTGCTGTCGCTGCAAATGAGAGCTGCCTTCTCATCTGGTCGAGCACTTTCAGAGACATGAGCCCCCTCATTACACCTGCCAGTAAGAGCAGCATGCCCAGCTCCTCTTCAGGTGACTGCTGCTGGGAACGAGGAGAGACCCGTCCACACCGCAGACGGCTCACTGGGCCCTGCCCTTGCTGCAACACCTAACCACAGCAATCACATGGCTGCTGCCTCCCTGCCATCCCCATGTGGCTGCTGTCCTCTCCCCACTGCCGCGCGGCTGTGTTTGCAGGTCACCCTGCAACCCCCCCACATATTGTTGCTGTCTCAGCACAATGGGGAGACTGCAGGGCTCTTGCCTCCACATTTTTAATTCTTTCTTGCCTTGTTCCCCCTGCCCCCTCACACAATGTAGCAAGGCAAACCAAAAAAGCAATAGAGCATAAAGGCAGTTAGTTACATTTTCTATTAAGGAGATGGATATTTTACTTTGGTACATCCAGAAGTACTAGCAAAGGAAAGTATGTTCATTTTGCTACAAGTTCAGCGAATCTGTGCTAACCACAAAATGGTTCTTACGCTGGAACACTAAAAGCACATTCATCCAAGGTATACGTGCTTCATAAGAAACAAAAATAAAGTAAATTCACACTAGTGCAAAGGATTTATTAGAAAGTTTGCAGAAAACTAACTGTCCTCCAAACACCACCACCCTATTCACTTGTAGAGAGGTGTCAGAGTCTGCATCACATGCTCTGAGTTTGGACGAAAAGTTCACTAAATAGGTTGTCACATAAGTGCTGACTATTTCCTTAAGTATGAAATAGGCATCGGTATTTAATTCTGAATTATACTAATTATGAGGTTATGCAACAGTTCTTTCTCTACATCTTTTAAAAGTCAATTTATAAAGCTATTACTGTAGAGATGTCTTAAGAGAAAACCAAACACCCGCTTTTTCTGGCTTCCAAAACGTATAAGGAACCACTTAAAAAGTACTGAAAACCACAATGATGTTATGTTCTTGATTTGCGGGGGGGGGGGGGGGGGGAGG